AAGGACCTGCTCCAGCAACTTGTATATCGAGCAGACCTTCGCGGCGGCAGGATCTGAACTCATTGCCATGAGGTCGACTGCATTGACGAGGTTGTGTGACAGTTTGACTCCGCCCTTGCTGTTGACACCACGACCGTCATCATCGAGCTTGGTGGGGGAGGCAATGTTGCGGTCACTCGGAACAGTAGCCTGGGTCATGAAGTAGCGATGGCTTGGGTTGGAAGATGACAGTGTAATGGTTGATGGAATAGTGGACGTGGTTGCTCTTGGGTATCCTGAATTGGCCGAGGTCTTTCATTAGCAAGCTATTGTACATATATGAGTCCATTGTCCAACACTCCCTTAACTCCGAAACACCTCATGATTTCCCCTCGCCGCCATCAGTGTCAGGTTATGGCGGCGCGAAATGAAGTGTGCCGTAGTCCACTAATCCTATCTTCTCCATGATGTTCGCAATTGCTAGACCGTGCAGCAGCTTGACAAGTATATCCGCTACATCGGTGTGTCGGGTGGGTGCGTGAGATTCTGGGTCCTTTGCGAGCTTGACCGCGGAAGAATTGTCGATGTGTAGAGGCGCAGCTCGGCCGGACTCGCAGCCCGAAGACGAGTATTATGAGCTCGGCTGAGTCGATATTGCTCTTGCCGCTAGTAGAAATAACAATGTCGGTTCTGGTGAACTCGTCGGTGTCATCAATAGTAGCGCGAGGCTCGTTGTTGTCCTCATCAATGTCGATCAGAGTTCTGGTGTACAATCTGTTGACCTTGTTGATACCGCTCTTTGACGGATTCTTTAACCCCTTTACTCGCCCACATAAGCGTGCATGTGCGCCACCCCAAGTATTGACCAGTCAGCCAGGGTCATGACCACATCCCATTCCTCTACCTGAAGCTCCGGCTCATCTCCAATGTGGACTGCATTATGCTCCTGCGCAATCCCGGCAGCCACTGCCTGCTGACGCATGTCCTCGATGCTCCGGACGAAGCTCTCGACGATCCATACTGCTCGATCTTAAAGTACGCGAGGGTGCAAGGCCCTAGCTACCTCCGCCACTGCCGTCGGGATGCCCTCAGGGTTAACCAAACCATCGGCGACTCGGAGAATGGCAGTGGCGAGGGGCGAGTAGACGTCCAAGATCCAATTAGCATGAGGGAGCATGAAGCCGCCAGGGACGTTCGGAAAGATCATTTCCCATTGCTCTGGCGGTGGTAGTGGTTGTGGCTCATGATCATACTGAGCGTTCTCATCTATCGGACCGTTAAATCGTGGGCATGCATCTGGACGCTGCTCGGTCTGTGTCCAGTGGTTGCTGTCGTGCTCCGCTGCTTGGCCGCAAATCATACCTAAGTCCACAGCTGTCAGCTTTTGATTGCTTCCTCGGTTGTAATAGAGCGTGGGCATGGACTTACAGAATCCGGTAAGGCAACAAGCACAGGCGACGAAGTTGCAGGCGTCGCGAAGGCAGCATGGAATCCCGCATGCCGGACAGCACTGGTAGTCTCTGCCGCGAATCAGGCCGTCGATATTGTTCACATCGCGAGTCGTCTGATCTGCCAGGTACTGCGCTTCCTTTTGGGTATACTGTTCGGCAAACTCCGGTAGGAGTACGCTTTGGAAGTCTCGTGGATGAGTAGCAATGTTGCCCCATCGCGCCGGGTAGTGGAATTCGAAGCTGATAGCTGCTTGAAAAAGTGGCACAACCGCCTCTCGGAAGCATGAGAGATGAAGTGTAGACTCTACAACATCCACCACGGGTGAATCGTTCTCGATGTCGGATGCGCAAAACCCGCAGGCCACTGCAGAGGCTCCGGGAGCCATTGCTGCTTGGGCTTTGGCGTAACAAAATGACCGTTTCTGCTCTTCGGGAGCCTACGTTAGGCCTGTTAAATGCTTGGCCTGTCCTTGCAGTAGATGTCTTCTGTTTCTTCTTCGCCTGGTCTTTCTCGCATGGGTGCCTCTCTGAGCACAAATCGCAAAACGAAGGTGCAAAGTATGTGGAAGTTGGCAAGACATCTTCGAAGTGTTTCTTAGCAATCTGTGAATCGACGGGTCCGTCCGCGTGTCGAAAGGAGGATTATCATTCGCGCACTCCATGAGTGCAGTTGTGTACAGCATGCTGTGAACAGTATCATATAAGAGGCTGGGAGTCTGTACATCAGGTCGAGAGGATGTCATCGAAGAAGCGGATAGGTATAAAGACGACTTCGTTGATACTGAATGGAATGGTCGATCGTAGATATACTGGATAAATTGAATTCTTCTTTGTGCAGCTGTGAGTCTAGCAAAGTCAAGGCCTTTGTACAACGATTTCTCGAAGTTTGCAGGCTAAGCAACAAGCAACACCATATGCATGAGTATCTGTAACCTAAGACATCTCTGTTGTCATTATATAAATATGCTGTGATGGCTCAAAGACATACCTCATACGACAGCAAAAGCACTAGCATAGCTCACGGAGCTGTCGTTGACTCTGCTCACCTCGCTACTCCGTTCGTACCTCACAAACTTGAACGCGCCAGCACTTTCGTTGCCAGACGTCTCTCGGACCGCTTCGATGGCAGACATGATGACGCCGATCGGATGACGGCCGCAGACTGTGTTGCCCGTTTCTGATAGATTCATGAACATCAGCGTTGGGCTTCAAGTCAAAAGTGGACGGTCCGAGACGTACCTTGCAATTGCTCAAGCCAGGACTCATGACTTCCGCTCTCACATGCTCTCATGCTTTCGAAATCGACGGTCTTGATGCTTTGATGGATTGCCGGATCCTTCGGCGTCCTGTCAGCGGCTCGTAGATTGATGGCTGAGCCAGTTGACGGGCGGTAGTATGTGTATCGAAATCTCAGACCCCAATGCGCGAAATCTGAAGAGATCACAAAGGCTGTGGATGGGTCTGCGAGATACGGTGCCAGCACCTTGCCAAGTGCTGCTTCCGTGGAGGCGGAGGTGTTGCCCACCATGATCGGGGTGAGCGGTGGGAAGGCGGAAGGATCATTGCCAAAATTCCTGTTTTGTTATTTAGTGCTCAAAGGCAACGAACGATCCAGATTGGGTATTGTGGCTCACTGAGAGAGGATCTTGTAGATGTACGGGAGATGCATTTCAAGGCTGTGTTCCTCTTCGTCGACGTCTTGAGACATCCAGTCGAATTGACCTGTTTTGTGAACTTCTGCCGTTGTCTCTCGGTCGACTGCAAGATTACCGAGCGGTGTGCCATAGTGCGTGCATCTTGAGAGGGCGGCTTTGGTGAGGTAATGGTGGTGGGATGGGCCTAGCAGGAATATTCTCTTACTGTGCGACCCAAGTCAGTGGCTAACATAGATATCATGAAACGCAAGATGGCGGCTACAGTGTATGCGCATTGGAGTAACACGAGAAGTCCTCATCGTTCGAGATGAAGAGTGCTGCACTCACGCTTTCGAGACATCCCAAGTCTTGTACGCATAGGCAGCAGCTGGACCGGAGTATGAGTAGCCTGCATGTCTGTAGGCCGCTCAGTATTCCGTCGATTTCCCTTATGCTGACCTCATGCTTCACTCACGGCGCGATGATGACTCTGGCACCCGGGACAGGCAGAGCGCCGAGACTCTCGCCCTCAGACCTAGGGCCGATGCAAGTCAACGGCGTCTTCACAGCTCCGAGCCATCCTTCCAGCTGAGAGTTGAGTTGCGAGCCGTTGGATGTGTACCACGAGCCTGCGTGACTAGGGTGGCGGACAACCTGTTTCGCCATCCCTTGACCTTGCAATGTTATCGAAGGGAAACGGCCGTCAAGTTATGGAGTGATGTCGTTGTAGTGGATCCCTCACGTATTCCTGAGTATCTTGGGATATTTCAGCACAGCGTGTCATTGTCGCCCGACAGGCGCGTTCTCCGTTCGCACCCAGCCTGCTTCTTACACTTCTGTAACATACCCCTTTCGCATAGCAATACATGTACTTTCCTCAGAAGAACATATCAACGTCGCTCATAAGCAAAGACCATCAGCATTAGTAGACATGGCACTCAAACGCAAACGCTCGTCTCCGTCCTTCTCCTCGCCGTCAACCACCATCTCCTCCTCCAGCGACATCGACCTGGACACAACATCCAGCATTCCCTTCTTCTACCCGCCCAGCAAAGCAGTTTTATATCCTCAGCCGAAAGCGACATGGCACTGGCCAACGTATGAAGATGCACCAGCAGATCACTACATCAGTCGAACGCGCAAACGGCATAGAGATGATCGGCCAGACGAAGGGACCGTGTACGGTAGGTAGTCCAGCATGCTTCTTGTGGTATGAATTTTTGCTGATTTTGGTGGTGCTGCAGCTTCTACCGTGCACAAACTATTTGATGCGCAGAGGCGGTTCCCGAACGCTGAGCCAATGCCTTCGCGATCGGATCCGACTTCTCGCCCGCAAACGGCCACCAGCAATGCGTCATTCTCACCACGACCGACTTCGCAGAAAAGTAATCTGCACGCTTTCTGGAACATCGCGCGGTCGCCGAAGGAAGACGTGGGTATGATGGATGTCGATGTCGGTGCATGGGCAGCGAGGAGGAGTGAGATGAAGTGTGAAGACTGCGATGGCTTCTTACAGGCAGATAGCGTTATGAATATTGATGAGGGTGTTTTGGAGCAGGAGATGAGTTGTGGAATGTGTGGGAGGAGGGTCTGCGATACTTGTGCTTTTCATGGCGATTTGAGGGTTTGTTTAGGATGTGCTCGGTGACGATGACACAGCAACTACAGACGTCAGAACACGAAATGCGGCATTCGAACAAGACCATGCGGTACCATTTCTACCATTTCCGAGCGGCGGCTCATGTTCAAATCGAGGAGTTTCAGACGACCTCGGGACCAGGAAAACATGCCATGATTTTTCCTCCGCGCGTTTCCAGATAATCCGTCAATGTGGTCAGCCCGACCACAGCTCGGGAGTTTTCACATTTTATTATATTTTTGCCGGAGGTCTGACTAGCCCGCGGTGCCGCTTGTTTGTGCGTCGCAACAATTCGCTGGATGCGTGGTGTAGTGGTTATCACGTCTCGTTTACATTCATGGAAGTAAACAGGTTCCCGAGAAGGTCGCAGGTTCGATCCCTGCCGCGTTCACCAAAGAGGTGAGCTGTGCCAGCAATTTTTTTTGCATTTTTGGCCACCTCATATCATTCATTCATTGTGCTAGGGGAGGAGGTATCGGGCTGTTCGATCACTGAGTCGGGCTCGGCTCGGGAGTCGGCCCGCCGGTTTTCCTGTGGAGCACAGAAACCACCACGAACCGCGAAGCCAAGCCGAACTCGACACGAACAACCAAACGTGCTCTCCTCTTTTCGCCAACCACGACATTCAAACACGCGCACATATCGCTCACAGGGGCCCGCCGCGCGCTCACTCGACTGACCATCAGCTGCAAAGTCCTCAAAGAACCTCGGTTGAGTCTACTCACATCTGAAAGCGAAGAATTTTGAGCTTTGCTTGCCGTCAACGGTATCATCAATGCCACGACTCATGGAGTCATTACAGGCAATCGATCACGTGGTTGACTCAATTGAATAGGACGCTCGACCAGACACGAGCGATTCGCATCTCCAGCATCTTCAGAACCTCGCGACCGATCTCTGCGATCTTCAACTGACCAACGAACCCCCCACTCTCGCCCCGAAAAGTGCGAAGATGGCGGCAGAGGTGTCGGCGATGGGCGGTGTCAACGGCTATGCTCCGCATCAAGGCTACGGTGGTATAGAGCAGCAGCAGCACAACGCGTACAATGCGCCCGCTAGCTATGCCCAACAAACACCCGCTGCGCCCGCTGCGCCCGCTGCACCCGCTCCCCAAAACGAGATTCCCAAGGATGAGGTCGGCTGGTACTTCGTCGAGCAGTACTACACTACCCTCAGCCGGAGCCCCGAGAAGCTGTACCTCTTCTACAACAAACGCTCGCAGTTTGTGTCAGGCCAAGAGACGGACAAAGTCGCTGTGTGCGTCGGTCAGCGCGCCATCAACGATCGGATAAAGGATCTCGACTTCCAGGACGCCAAGGTTCGCGTCACCAACGTCGATTCGCAGGCATCCGACTCCAACATCGTCATCCAGGTCATCGGTGAGATCAGCAACAAGTCCGAGGCCCCCAAGAAATTTACGCAGACTTTTGTCTTGGCTACCCAGACTAATGGTTACTTTGTGCTCAACGACATTTTCCGGTATTTGATCGAGGAGGAGGACGAGGAGCCGGAACAAGAGCACGTGGCAGCACCAGCGCAACAAGAGGAGGAGGTGCAGCAGGTGCCAGCTGCTGAGAGCGGCTACCAGGAGCCGCCGTCTACTGCTGAGCCAACAGAGCCAAAGACGTTGACCAGCTCACTTGACCCAACTGCTGTCGAGCACGACGCGAAGGCGGTGGATCAGGAGCTTGAGGCGAAGTTGCTCAAGGAAGAGACGCCGGAGGAGGAAGCGCCGAAGACCAATGGCTTGACTGAGGAGCAGGCTGCCGCGCCGATGTCTGCGCCGGAGCCTGAAGTTGCTGCCGAGCCACCAGCTGCCGTCGCCGAGCCAGAGCAGCCAGCCGCCACCCAGCCCGCTGATGAGCCTGTGGTGGAGCAGGAGATGCCGAAGGATCCATCCCCGACTCCGGCGCTAGTCGCACAACAAGCACCACCTCAACCTGCTGCTCCACCAAAGCCTGCTGCGCCGAAGACGTGGGCTAGCCTTGCTGCCTCCGCGCATCGTGTTGCCACCCCTGCCGCCCCTGCCGCTCCAGCCTCCCAGCCGCAGCAGTCCCAGCCGCGTGCTGCCCCTGCCCCAGCCAACAAGCCAGCCGCTCCCACGCCAGCTGCCGCGCCTGTACCTACCGCTCCAGCATCTCAGCGCGAGGACACCGCCAGTCCTTCGCAGGACGAATGGAACACCGTCTCTAGCTCGCACAATCGTCAGCAGAGCCGTGCCGCAAATCAACAAGGTCAGCAGGAGGGCCCGCAGAACAGGGGCTACATCAAGGGCGTGCATGAGACCGTAAACGCTGATGAATTGAGACGCCATCTGGCCCAATTCGGCGAGATCACGTACTTCGATGTGGCGAGGCAGAAGAACTGCGCCTTTGTCGACTTCAAGACGGCGGAGGGCTATCAGGCTGCTGTGAATGGCAATCCCCATACGCTGGGCGAGAACAAGTTGTTCGTCGAGGAGAGGCGCGTGAGGCCAGGAAGTACGCCATATATCCCGCGCGGTCAGTACCAGGGTGGACGTGGCGGCCGTGGTGGTGCGCAGGGTCAGGGCGCTGGTCGTGGCAACTTCCAGGGCCAGCAGCGTAATGGTGGATACCAGGGTGCGCGCGGCGGTCGTGGCGGTGCTTCGGCTGGTAGAGGTCGTGGCAGTGGTGAGGTTTAGGCTGCCTCGGCTCCTTCTGGTCCTAGGCGAATCTCAGCCTCGGAGTGTTGACGTTGATGGAGAGGTTCAAAGAGTTTGGTAGGAGAGAGGTCTAGGTGTGCAAGTGACAATGTGATGTGACGAGGTGGTTTAGCCGAGACAGGAGGACGGTGAGAACAAAAGCAAAAAGCTGGAAGAGGAAAAAGAACTGTTTGTACTATACTGGTCTGCTGGAGTTCACTCCTTGCTCTGTCTAGTTTGTGGGACTATGACGCCAAGAAAGACAAGGCGAAGCAAGAGGCGGGCGGGCGTCTTCTGACCACTGTTCTTACTATAGCGACTATACGTCATGCCGACCTTCTGCAGCACGCACAGCACAGCGAAACGCGGATTTGGGACTGCTGCCGGGTGGGAAAAAGGTGCTCTTCCTGTTGCGTAATTTGCATAGCGTGGAATAGCCTCTAAAGTTGATTGCTCCTTCTGCATTTTTTGGTGGCCATCTTGGATCTTTTGGCAGAGTCAAAGTGTGTATTTATCAAAGCGGGAGGGTATCGTACTTGTATAGAGCATGGAAGCGTTGTGGACTGTATGCAAGGTAAGGTCTTTTGATGCCTATCCTCCGTTTTGTATGGTGCCCTCTATTCGGCTGACTGAACCATAGCTACCTATATATATATATATATATATTGTATTGGTTGATCGCCGCCCAAATCATCAAGCAGTCAAATGCACCGTTTTCACTATCAAGAGGATCAGGCACCAAGCGCAATGCATCGAACAATCACTCAAATGTCTGATTGACGGAATCGCTGACCACAGCTTAGATGAGGCTCACGTCGTCCTCCACAGCGTCACGCATGCCCACTGTCATGTCTGGGGGGAAGTAGGGTCTGAGCCGACTATATCGGACATGAGTTGGGCTTCATCCAAATCTTCGTCTTCAGCTAGTTGGCTAGAGTTGTCGCCAACTTCAACATCATCACAATCGGTGCCGAGGTAGCGGATGCGGTCGCTGGATGCTTGCTGCCACGACTCCGCAGACGGAACAATAGACAGAGGGTCATCTTCTTCCAGGCTCAATGTTTGCTTTCTATCAAACGTGTGTCACACTCAGCCGCTGGCTTGGAACCTGGCACCGGGTACTCCACGCTTTTGTTCCCCTTACTGCTCAACTTCTATCCCCGACATAGCCCAATTTGTCTGCACGCATCACCGCCGATCAAAGTCGGCTCGTCCAACAGCTAACTGATGCGATAGTTTGTCTGCATGAAAGCTCTCGGGAAGGCCCCATATTGCTCTGGGGCGTTTGGATATGGCGGCGGTGCGTCTGCGGCCGCCTGATTCCACGGCTGGATGTTTGATGGTTGGACACCAGCTGATTGGCGATCGCTCGACGTCGAACGTGAGACCAGATTTCGCAATTGCAGACTTGTAGGCCAGCCAGTTTGGAAACCCATCGAGGAACCCGGTCGTTGAGCAAGTGAGCACCATTATGATAGTACCGTAGATCGCACAGCCGATATTGATGATGATGAACGCTGCAGTCACCAGCACAGTGGTTGCCAATGCAGCGACAGCACCCACGATCAACGTGCCGCCTGGGTATATGGCCTTCGCCTGGCTCGAGAAACGACCTGAGATCATCGTCAGTAAGTCTGAGTCTGTCACCTTGATTGACACCATGGTTATCGTTCGTCTTTCAGTCAGCCAGCCAAACAGGTTGACGTGGCCATCCTTTAGCTGGTGAATCTGATGCACGTGTGTATTTGATGATTTGAGTGACCCTGTTGACTGATAGTAGCTTCTTCTCGACCGGCCAAGAATGAACAACGGAACATAGCTCACCTGTCAGATCTAAGCAGACCATGCTCAACAAATCCGCCAAAACCAAGAGTGTCAAGAATCCCGGCACACACCCAGTCACGACCCACTCCCGCGTCCAGTGCTGCCACTTGGGCTTCTCTTCGCAGTAGAACTCATGCTGCACTGAGAGCACATACGTGTACAAGCACAAGCCAGACGCGGCGGTCAGAAGGAACGAGGCGACGACAGCACGCGCAATGCACTGTTGAGAAAGTGCTTGCTTCGAGCCCAAGGTCTCTCCGAGCGCGTGAAAAGATGACAGGACGGCAAGTCCTAGTATGATGACGCCCATTGCGAGGCGGGTGTTTGTGGCTGCAGCGACGGACTGGTGGGCTAGGTAGCCAGCCTTCTGTATGCAGAGCGGATTGAATGTTGCAGCCGTCGGCGGCGGTTCATCATGATATCTGCCTCGGTATGAGGAATGCGAGGCGCCCATGGTCTCGGTATGACCGCCTTGAGTGCTTGCCGCCGGGTCAGTGATGCTGGCAGTCGAATGACCGATAATCTTATTTGCCATGACCGACTAGATGATCAATGGGTCTGGGGTGATTAATGTGGTAGAATGCTTGATCTGGCTCACAGATGGACGGATCCTTGACAGGGGAGCGGCTGCTGACTGGCGTGAAAGTCTCGCTCAAGCCGGCACTCCAATATGTTCACCGGTAAAATACATGCACGCAGTAGCTATCGGAAGGTGCATGCGTAGATGTCGGACACACAAAGTACACTCTCTGCTCGGAAGAGCAATCCAGAATATAAGTACTTTCCGGAGCTTTCCGCACAGCCTCGCACTAGAGCGTAACAGGAAAGCACGCTTTCCTATGCCGTCCGTGGCATTGGCAGGTAAGGTCAAACAGACCATGACACTCATATACACGGTTTGTGAT